AGGGGCCGGCACAGAAATGGGGGGCCCCGTAATCTGCCAGCCCCCTATGAAAAAAAAAGGAACACACCAGCGGTGTAGGAGCCTGAAAGGGGGCACAGGGAGAGTGTGGCATGGAGCAGCACAATGGGGAGGCCGTACGGACCCATGAGAGACTCTGGAAACCTGGCAGCAGCATGAGGAGGCGGTACGGGGTCCATAAGCAGATTACGGGCCTGCACAGCAATGGTAGTCCCTAATCTGCCAGAACCTATGACAAAAAATGGAACACACCATCAGTGTGGAGGAGACCTGGAAGTGGCACATGGCAGAGAGTGGCGATGGAGACAGCTGCAATGGGAGGCCTGTAGCAGGGACCCATGAGACACTCTGGGACCTGGCAGCAGCATGAAGGGCGGTCAGGGGCCCATGGGCAGATTACGGGGCCTGGAAGCAGCTATGGGAGGCGCCCGTAAATCTGCCAGGCACCTCTATGACAAAAATATTGAACACACCAGCAGTATTGTGAGGAAGAACCTGGCAAAGTGGGCGACGAAGGCAGAGGTGTGGCTGATGGAGACAGCAGCAAATGGGAGGCCAGGACGAGTGACCCATGGAGAGACTCTGGACCCTGGCAGCAGCATGATGGCAGGCTGTTACTAGGGAGCTCATGGCAGATTTCGGGGCCTGGCAGCAGCTAGTGGGAGGCCCGTAATCTGCAAGCACCCTTATGACAAAAAATGGAACACACCAGCAGTGTGAGGAATACCTGAAAGTGGTCACATGGCAGAAGTGGTGGCGATGGAGACAGCAGCAATGGGAGGCCGTAACCAAGGACCCATTGGAGAGACTCTGGACCTGGCAAGCAGCATGAAGAGGCGGTACGGGTGCCCATGGCAGATTATCGGGCCTGGCAGCAGCATGGGAGGCTCCGTAATCTCCAAGCACCCTATGACAAAAAAATGGAACAAACACCAGCAGTGTGAGGAGACCTGAAAGTGGCACATGGCAGAGTGTGGCGATGGAGACAGCAGCAATGGGAGGCCGTACAGGGACCCATGACAGACAACTCTGGGACCTGGCAGCAGCATGAGGAGGCGGTACAGGGGCCCATGGCAGATTACGGGCCTGGCAGCAGCAATGGGAGCCCGTAATCTGCCAGCACCCTATGACAAAAATGGAACACACCAGCAGGATGTGAGGAGACCTGAAAGTGGCACATGGCAGAGTGTGGCGATGGAGACAGCAGCAATGGGAGGCCGACAGGGACCCATGACCGACACTCTGGACATGGCAGCAGCATGAAGAGGCGGTACGGGGCCCATGGCAGATTACGGGGCCTGGCAGCAGCAATGGGAGGCCCGTAATCTGCCAGCACCCTATTTCAAAAAATGGAACACACCAGCATGTGAGAGATACCTGAAAGTGGCACATGGGCAGAGTGTGGCATGAGACAGCGCAATGGAGGCCGTACAGGGACCCCATGAGAGACTCTGGACCTGGCAGCAGCATGAATACGGGGCCCATGGCAGATTACGGGCCTGGCAGCAGCAATGGGAGGCCCGTAATCTGCCCAGCACCCTATGACAAAAAATGGAACACAACCAGCAGTGTGAGAGACCTGAAAGTGGCACATGGCAGAGTGTGGCGATGGAGACAGCAGCAATGGGAGGCCGTACAGGGACCCATGAGACACTCTGGACCTGGCAGCAGCATGAGAGGCGGTACAGGGGCCCATGGCAGATTAAACAGGCCTGGCAGCAGCAATGGGAGGCGAGGCCCGTAATCTGCCAGCACCCTATGACAAAAAAAATGGAACACACACCAGCCAGTGTGAGGAGACCTGAAAGTGGCACATGGCAGAGTGTGGGCGATGGAGACAGCAGCAATGGGAGGCCGTACAGTGGACCCATGACACACTCTGGACCTGGCAGCAGCATGAGAGGCGGTACTAGTGATACCATGGCAGATTACGGGCCTGGCAGCAGCAATGGGAGGCCCGTAATCTGCCAGCACCCTATGACAAAAAATGGAACACACCAGCATGTGAGGAGACCTGAAAGTGGCACATGTTTGGGGCATGATTCATGGCGGATTTAGTCAGTTGTGTCAGGAACTGGGTGGTTTGAAATCCAGACTAATCCACGCTTGATTCATTTTCACAAACGTGAGTCCTCTCCACACTTTGGGTGGACAGTCGTGTCCTCCGCGGAGTTACAATACCTCCTGCCGCACTAAACACAAGCGCTCTCCGATGCCACGCTACTGGCCGGGCAATGACAGCCTTTCAAGGGCAAATTTCAGCTAGTTGGGGCCAAAGGTCAAGTTTCGTTGCCCATATCAAGGGGATTGTCTACCTCGGTTGGCAGGGTGCTGTCCAAGTAGGCAAGCCTGTTGTTTGAGGTCCTGCTCCAGGTCCACCTGATGCTGCTGCTGCTGCGGCTGGTTAGTAGTTTCCTCACTGCGCTGGTGAAGAAAGCTACTCATCATCGACTGCAGACTGAGGCAGCCCGCTGCTGGTGGAGCTGCCACTGCTCCTACCACCCCACCCCCTCCCCTGCTGCCATGGCAGCGGAACGCGAGCGCACAGGGCCCACAGTGTCTGAGGATGGACGTTGGCAACGCAGAAAGGCAGAGACCAACTGACTACATAAGGTGGTTTTTATAGTACGTTATTTTGGCCTCCCTCTCAGCAGGTGTGAAAAAGGCCACCATTTTTGAACGGTAGCGAGGGTCCCAACAAGGTGGACAGCCAAAAGTCATCCCTCTGTCTGATGGTTATTATTCGGCTGTCGCTACGCAAGCAAGCCGAGCATGCTATGGGCCATTTGTGCCAAGGAATGCGAGGGACTCCCTGCCTCCATCTCCACAGCATACTGCCACGGTGCGTCTGGGTCCTCTGTCTCCTCCTCCTCCTCCTCTACCAGATGCTCCTGCTCCTCCACTCCTGTCCGCTGAGTGGAAAAACCACCCATTTCACTCAATAATTCCTGAGCACAAATGTCCTCCTCTACCTCCTCCTCTTCTTCCTGTCCTGCCCCCACAGGGGTCATGTGGCGTTGAGATCTGTGCGCCACGTCTACCGCACCCTGACCAGCCATTGTTAACAGCATTTGTTCCAGGACGTGCAACAGAGGAATGACGTCGTTCATCCCATAGTCCTGCCGACTCACGAATAGCGTGGCCTCCTCAAAGGGCCTGAGCAAGCGGCAGGTGTCACGCATGAGCTGCCAATGGCTGACATCTAAGTTACACAGGGGAGTACCTTTATCCGCTTGTAACATCAGGAAATCGGTGATGGCCTTTCGCTGTTCGTAAAGGCGGTCTAACATGTGTGTAGGGTTGAATTCCACCTTGTTGCAACGTCGCAGATCAGGCGATGCTGTGGAATTCCGTTCTGCCGCTGCAGCTCAAGGAGGGTGTGCTTTGCGGTGTAGGAATGGCTGAAATGCATGCAAAGTTTACGTGACATTTTAAGGATGTCTTGCAGTGGGATGGTGGATTTTAGGAACCGCTTGACAACCAGATTGAACACGTGAGCCATGCATGGCGCATGGCACAACCTTCCTTGACGCAGAGCAGACACCATGTTCTTTCCGTTGTCGGTCAACATGGTTCCGATTTTCAGTTTGCGCGGAGACAGCCATCTGTCGATTTCTCTGTTCATTACACTCAGAAGTTCCTCCCCTGTGTGACTACGTTCGCCAAGGCATACCAGGTGCAGCACAGCGTGACACCGTTGCGCCCTGCACATGTGATATGCCGGTCGGGTAATGGGACTTGGCACGGGGGTGGCGGCTGAGGACACGGCGGAAGAAGAGGTGGTAGAGGCGGACATCTTTTGTGGACCAAGGACGTGCAAACGTGGAGGCAAAAGCGGCGTGACCTGTCCAAGTTGCTGGTGCGGCTGTGCCGGCACCACGTTCACCCAGTGGGCCGTAAATGACATGTACTGTCCCTGACCGTAGTTACAGCTCCACACGTCGGCGCTGCCGTGCACTTTGGCAGAGACCGACATGCTCAAAGACTGGCCCACCATCTCTTCTACATGTGAATGCAGGGCTTGGCACTGCCTTTTTGGCGAAGAAATACCGGCTTGGCACTCTCCACCGCGGCGCGGCACAAGCCATCATTTCTCGGAAAGGTGCTGAGTCCACCACTTGGAAAGGGAGGGACTGCACGCACCAGCAACTTGGACAGGAGGACGTTCAGGCTTTTGCACCGTCGGGTGCGTGCTCGCAAACTGTTGTCTCTTGGAAACGGAAATTCAAGAAAGACTGCTGACGGGAATCGTGAAGAGGAGTAGCAGGAGAAGGAGCATCTGAACGAGGCGGAAGATGCAAACGAGCGACAACTCCCTCAGCAGAGGTGTTGGAGCCTTGACTGGCTGATAGAGAGTGGCTGATTGACGTCGGGTCGATGACGGAGCAAGTAACGGAGCGGGTGATGGAGCGGGGGGCTGGGGCGGGCAGAAATCCGCCGTATTCTTTATCACGGTTTTCCCAGGCCACCAAATGGCGACGCTGGCATATGCTGACGCAACGCTGTTAGTCCCCAACATGGGCCCCCGGGCCATGCTTGATCTTTGTGGCCACATAGTGGTCTTTGGAAATTCGCTTTAAACGAATTTCTCCTTACCGAGAGTACCTCGCATTTGGATGCGCAGAAATCCCCCCATAAAAGCTGTGCGAATCTCGCTTATCCAAACGACTCGCAGCTAAACTGCACGATTCCTGCCCCATCCTAATGTAATAGATCTGTTGGAAATGTGGGGGTGGAGGCTCCGTTGCCCTAGAATGAATCACACGACATCTAAGGCCTAGTGTGTTTGCAAATTCACATTCAGGGCCCCAAGGGCCGGTTTCAAACTCAGCCTTTGGTTATTATTACAATTAAACCACATGCCACCCAACATGAATATAGGTTAATAATCCCTTCTCCACCGAACAATGCATCAATGGGAGTGCCTATCCACATGATGTACATTCACGATTGGGAGCATAGCCTTTTCTATTATCTATCAACTGTTCTATACCCCATGACCTTCTGGATGTCAGCAGATCTTCCTCCCCTTCCCCCCATGAAACATCCTGAGGTCATATTTTCCATCTCCTAGCAGTATGTTTATTCCCTGTGCAAGCAACCCCTAGAAATATCAGTCTGGTACCTGATGGCCGATATGATCTTATTAAAACTCATCCTTCCAGATACAGTTCAGATTGGTAATGGGTTTTTGTAAGATATGCATAAGCCTACACGCGGAGTTCACACCCCTTGGCGCCTTGCGTTATTTAAGCCCATGTGGTACTATGTGTGATATGTGGATACAGGCCCGGGTCT